TTCTGCGCCAAAGTTAATAGCTGTGCAGTAAAAATCTAAAGCATCTCCAGAGTGGCTGCTCCCTGTCATCATTTACAGGTCAAAAGCAGCAGGCTACAGAAAGCATTAGCAGCCAACAGGGGGATGTATGAAGTCTTTGAGAGTGTCGTTCTACTGCAACCTCAGAGCCAAAGAAAATTCCCCATAATAACAGCCTGTGGATTGTCCAGCCTTCACCTAGCTGAGTACATAACCTGCACATTCATGAGGCCAAGTGGTTCACACCTGACGGCTCAGACAAGATGTTCTTTCAACACTCTGATTGGTTCCTCCCACAGGGGAGTTTGTTAGATGAAGCTTCCTCACACTAGGTCCTTTTTTTTTTTTTTTTTTTTTTGGCGTGACAGTGAGTGTAGGAGTTGAAATTGGATAATGGCACTGCTGGACTGAATCATCAGCTTCTCATTAAACAGAATCTAAACCATCAAGTGAGTTGTTAGTGAATAAATTCAATACATTAATGGTGACTATGCATAATTAAAATCCTTTTATTATCCTTGCAGGGATAATAAAGTCTAAAGAAGCAGAAATAAATAAATACAAAATAATCTGAATTAAAAACAGCTTCAACAAACAAAAATGAATGACAGAAAATTAATTTAAAGTCTGGCAGAACTTTGAAAACCTAACAGAAGTTTCTCAGACTTTTTTTAATTTTTTCATTTTGAGACTGAAAGGAGTCCAGCACAGACCTGGCTCAGAGTCTGGCAGCTTCATGCGGCTGCTGGGATCTTGATCAGACATGGACTGGGTGGAGGTTGAGCAGCCAAGAAACCCCTTTAAGCGGTACCAGAACAGGGTGACGGGGCTAAAGGGCTAAAACTAATGAATGGAAGAGAATTGTGGAATGATAAGTGAAAATGAAAATATTTGGGTTTGGAGCCAAACAGTACAGATCTGATGGATTAAAGAGGCAGAATATTTGGAGAGAAAACTACTGTTGAAACTGTACTGATTTCATATGATGTTTACTGTATTCAGGTATGAACACCAACTCATAATCATAAGCCACTACTGTAGTTTACATTGTACGATCCAATAATTAACACAGAATGGAATCATAAATCATACAGATTTCTATGTATTCATTCATTTTTTAATACTTTTCACAGTGACTGGGAGTGCTGGACACCCGTCCATCACGTGTTTAGACAAAAGAACATTCACACTTTTATTTACAAAGTGTGAATGGTCATCAAAATGATCATTACCTGATCACCACATCAGATTCCCCAGAGGAACCAAGCATTTAATAGCGCCTCCTGTGGCAGCCTGGGGTGGTTCCAAAGACTAACACTGTGTACTTCCCCTTTTATGGACAAATAAGGGACTTCAGTCCTCCATGACTTCGGTTTATGGGGAGAAAACTCTGAGAGTACCAAAAATGAAAACCCACTCTTCCACTGCGTTAACCTTTAAGATAATGATTTTACAGAAAACTCAAAACCTACTGCAAGTACTTTTACGTGTATTAAGGAAATATTTTTATTCGCTGGTCATTGCTGCCATATTGGCCACTCGAATCTGTGAAGAAATATTCAACACGGGTATGTTTAATATGGTGAGAGAAACCTTAACTGTACAGAGGCTTAACACGACTGATGTTAAAAAATAACATTAACATTCAGCTGCATTAACAGATGTCTTTGAGTTTAGTTTAATTATATGTGTGCAAGAAACAAAGACTAACAGTTTCCTGATGGATTCTCTCCCAGGGGATTATCACATCTGAATATTTTAATGTGTTCAATTTCCAAATATTAGGAAATGCCACAGTTGACACTTTTTTTAAAAAAAGGTATTTGATTCTAATAACCGAAACATGTTAAGGCTTGTCTCAAGACTTTGAGGAGTTTCATTAATATTTGTCAAGGGTTGAGCTGCTTTTTAATTTGCAGTAACGTTTGCAGAAAACTAAAAGAACATTTTCAATGAATGAGTTTTTCTTCATAAACAAGACAAAGAAACAGACCCTCATCTGGTGTGGAAGATATCCCTCAGAATTTCACAGAGAAGAAGTTGATGTTTACAAATGGAGGATGTTTACCAAAATATTTTTTTGATTTGAATTAAAAAATATATTTTTTTTATTGTCATTCTTCTCAGTTTGTTTAAATTATATTATGGAATTTTGATCAACTTTCAGCCATTCTGTTTGTTTGATCCAGTTTGTTTCCTGGGTATTTTTTTTAGCCTCTAGCCTCTTAGTCTCTTGTGCCCAAGACTTCTCTTCGATTTTGTCTTTAATAATTGTCCAGTTCAAATCCAATGCTAATTTCATATCAGCTTCAGCCTGTGATTTCTAACGTTTTTTGGCTTGTGACCCCATTTTGACATTTCTGGTGACCACCAGAGACATAACCCCAAGGTTGAAAACCATTGTCATAGCCCAACTCGTAACATGTAGGCCACACAATAACATGCCAGGAATCACAGTAATAAATACATTCTTGAATATCCACCGCCATTTGAAACAAACTAGTAAAACTGGGATGTACACAGCGAACCTCAGCATGAAGTCTGTGACCCTCACGCCCTGGGGCGTCTTTTAGTAGTGAATTTGTATTTTTTATAAACATGAAGACAAACAAGCCACTTACAGAAGCCAACACTCTCCAGCTCATAGCGGCCCCTCAATAATAGACCTATCGGTTATGTTGTAAAGTGAAGCTCAGTTTGAGCCGGCAGCTTCTGTTTCTAGAAACAAATTCTACATCCATTCCCTTGGTAACCTTGGAGCCCAAGGTTTACCCAGTATGACTGTGAATATTTTAAGAATTGGTAGTGCTTAAAAAAAAAAAAAAAAACAGGACACTTTCTGAAGGATGTCTCTTTCACAAAGTTATTTTACTTCCTGCTGGGAGAAAATGGAACAGCAGTCCACAGGGTGCCACTGAGAGAAAATCCAAGAAAAAAAAAAAACAAAAGAAAAAAAATGCAGAAAGGAAGGTGGAATCTGATCCTTAATGAGTGGGAACTTCGGAATGATACGGTAAACTACGACAGGAAGTAGAATAATTAACTAATCAGCCTGAAATGGTCGTGACTTTTTACTTAAACAATGCACTGTACAACAGCTTTGTAAGTAGAAAAAAAAAACTGTGACCTTGGATCAGTGGGATGTGACAAAACAGCACTGTCAATCACTGAACACAGGGTTTGACTGCGGGCCACTGGTGGTCTTTGCTCCTTCATAGACAGGGGTCTGCAGGGTAACGGACCCCTGCGTGGACGCCGTAGACATTTGTGTTAGAGCAGGCGCCAGCTGGTCCTGACTACTGTAATCTCTGCCATTGACTGAAGGGGTTCCCAGGTCCTTCAGGGGTCCGGAGCTACTGATGCAGCAGGGCCACAGCGAAGGAGGAGTCGGGCCAACGCTTGATGAACATGCCGCAGGCTGCTTTCTGATGTCGTACGGCGGGGGCTGTTGGTGAGAAAGACGTAGCTACTGGCAGCCGCAGAGCGATAATACCTGCTGTGTGAAAACCATGGGTCTATTATGGGATGGTTTTATAAAGACAGAGGCTGGTGGGTAGAAAAGAAAGGGGTTTTAGAGGACTGACAAACTACACTGAAGAAGCAGGCTGCGATGTTTCTGTACAGGCTGGTAATAATGAATACATCTGAATACCTTCAACCAAATGGAAATTAATTATTGTCAATATTTCACAGACTTCTACCTCAGGGAGGAATGCAAAGGAAAAAAATGAAATTATTGAAGATGATAATTGTGGTTAACTAATCAATTAATAAATAAGAGAAAATTAAGAAAAGACAATAGGTTATTCACCCCTGTGAAAATGTCACATATATACTGTAGGTTTCCGATGCAGTAGATCTAGAACCAGAGAACACAAGGTAGAAAATAAATTAGTAAGTTAGCTCAAATCACTTCTGCTCCTTTACCTTATGTGCTGTTTAACATGTTCCTATGATATGTGCACTGTATTGTGTTTTGTAATGAGTGTGACCTCCCTTCAAACAAACAGCCCTGGCACTGGTTTGTAGTAAAATGAAAAAATGTAGTGGGTAAACACATTTATTTTTCATGTGATAAAATGATTTAACTAAGAAGATTAACTGTCATTAAAAATAGTGAAAGATGTTAGAATCAAAGGTATTGCTCGCTGAATATTTTAAATTTCAGTCCTGTATTTCTTCTAACGTGAAATGTGATTAGGTTTTGTTCCAAGAGAACATTTTCACTCATACACAGTCACAGTCAAGGCTCTTCCACAGCTCCCACACTGCTTGCATATGTACCCTTGAGCTATTATGGTCTATAACTGATGCACATTATGAAGGGATATTTTCACAACACAGAGGTTAAAAGCTAATTGCGCACTAAAACTCCTGCGCGAACGTTCAGTAAAAGGTAACGTGTCACTGTGAAAAATAGAGTAATAATGCTGCTGTGTGGGTTTTATTTATCTTTTAACATGAGTGGTTTCCTGTGCCTCAGAATTACTTTAGACAAAAGCAGTTAAAAGTGTGAGTTATGAGTTTCATTTGGAAATACAGACTTTTTTTGGAGACAATACTTTGAAGAGACCGTGAGCAATAGTCAAGGAAATACTGATTTCTCTCTTTGTGGGTTTTACCAGTACGAGTTGTGTAATTGTGTAGTAACTGGTGCAGAGCTTGAAGTCGTTTCAACCAATCACCAGAATCTCTGTTAAATTAATCAATTTTTCTACAAAAGCTATCACCTGAAAGAGATTTAAAACAAAATTTCAATTATTTTTTTCTTAGGATTAAAATATTTTATAAAAGAACAACGACATGACATAACAGGCAAACCTGGTATAGTCAAGTGTGTATACGTAGGAATAAACATATATGTAAATGTTTTTGGTTACATTACATTATGGAGTAATTGTAATCTTTTATAGATATTTGTTGGTATTCGCACAGCAACAGAAAAAACATGTTTGGTCTATTTAAAAAAAAAAAGACTAAAATGTCAAACTGAAAATGACAACAAAAAACTAAAAAAAATTACATTCTATTTGTTTCATTAAAACTTGAACTCTTATTGAGGACCTAGAGACAAAAAAATGTAAAAAAAAAAAAAGGTATTTTAATTATGGTCAGTCAGTTTATGTAGAGTTCACATTAATTAAAAAAAAAAAAGAAAAGTTAAGTCTGAACAGTAAAATTTGATTCATGTCATGTCATCAACTTATGGCTCTTTACTGCCACACTGTTTCTCTGAGAGGGCCAGTACATCAAACCCTACTGTCCACATAAAACGAAACTGATGTGGACGACTGATGTGTCTGCAGGTAGAGAGGGGGCGCTGGGGACCCCTTAAGGTGTACCTGATACTTTCTCACAGCCTCTCGCTCTAATAACTCCAACTCCCATCTCGGAGAAACCTCGGCACATGACTGATCAATGTCGACAGGTAGTTTCACAGTCACCGCTCGTTTTTGCTACACAACAGGACGGAACGCATTTCCTGCAGGGCTAAGCTGTTGTACTATGTATGCATTTTATATTAAACTTTATTTATGTTTTTTTTTTTTTTAAGGGCAGTTGGAAAATGCTTCCACACAATAAAATCAGGAAAGCACTTTGCAAAAACAGAGCAGTAAGCAACTCTTTTAAATGAATTAATCAACTTCCTGTATAGGAGGAGAAGCACTGCACTTCTTAAAGCATAAAAGTGAACACATCAAATGTAGTTTTAGCTCTTTTCCACTGATGACAACATTGTTTAAATCAAGCCTCTAGTCACTTTGTGCCTGTAACTAATAAGAGACAACGCAGCAAACAGTTTAACAGAAGAGCTAAAACACAACGCCGCTAATGCACAGGTTTCTGGTTTCTCTGCTGTCGAACATTGGGCGGACACTGGAGCTGCCAACTTTAATCACATCTCAACAGGCAGCACGTCATATGGTCAGGCAGAAAACAGCAGCCATTGGCCAGCAGCAGTTCCCATGGAGACCACTGTCTCCTCTCCCTTCCCGAGGAAGCCTAAACTGTGAGTGAAAATGGGACGATTCCTATAAATTGTTTCCTAATCTTGTTATTTCTTATTTCCATGCTGAAATGGATATTGGATTACAAGTGAGCGACGAAGGGAGGGTAGAAATGAGACATGGAAGTTTTCTTATTTGACGTTGCAGGGAATGCTGCAGTATGGACAGTAACATCCACTTCAGTGCTTGGTTTTACTGCACTCTGTTGATAAAGACTGGAGTCATTATGTTTTGCTCACTCTGCTCTGCGTTTCTGGACAATGACTCTGACTACTATGGTCATGAGTTCATTTCCAACAGTAAAACACTAACATGCTCAAAAATGAGTTGCAAACATAAAACTATTTTAAATATTGGTGGACTTTTTAGTTTAATTTTTGTTTTAGGTGCTAATTAAAATATTAAAAATACTAATAACATGTTTTTCCAATGTTGTCACACCAAAAGAGAGAATTTGTAAACCACAAGTTCACATACAATCACAACAGAATTAAATTTTGTTCTTATTAACTGCAAGAAAAAAAATAGTTTGAAGAAATATTTTTTCTGTAGGTGGTGCTAAAAACATGTTTTAAAGTCTCTTTTCATGGCTGAAGTGCACAGGTATGTACAACCGTATTGTTGTGTTGTTGACTTGGCGTCCCAACATATTGAAGTTTAGTGCTCATGTTTTCTTTATTGCTATACTTTTGGTAACATATTTGCACCTCATCTTACAGATTGAACTCCATGAACTTGTCCATTTAATGTAAACACTGAATAACCAATAATCACCTCCAGGGTTAATTAGTTCCATCAGCCTCACCTGTGTCCTGTGTGTCTCTGTTAATCAGTCTCACTTGTCTCACCTGGTGACCTGGGTATAAATACCACTCTCTGTCTTTGTTCGACCGTTGTTGTGTATTGCTCCTGTTCTGGGGCTACATGAAGGTGTTATGGTTCTTGTTCTCCTCCTGTTTCACCTCTTTTCCTGGCTGGCCGTGGTTTCTGTAAGTTGACGAATCATAATAATCTTGAGTAATCCACAGCTGTTCTGTGAGTAGTCAAATTTTGTTGTAAAAGGATGGGATAGACCCTTTTTGTGCCAAGGCTCAGTTAAGGCAATCCTAACAGTACATTACTTTATTGATACCTGGGGGACATTAAAGTACTATGACAGGCTGCAAACACCATGGTGGTGCAATGGGTTAATGTCCAAACAGAACCTATTTAGCCCTGATGGCAGTTATACATCTCAAACAGGTACCAGTCATAAGTGATTATGTTTGGCACCTGAATATCTTATTATTATTATTACTATTGTTGTTGTTGTTGTTGTTGATCTTGTTGCTATTATTATTGTTGTTATTGCTATTATTATTATATTCATGTTGCCTTCTGATGATTTAACAAGAACAAGCCCAAAAACTACTGCACTAACTGAAATACCTTCATACCTAAAACATAAACATGGGTCAAACAACCAGCCAACTTCCTACAAATGTGGCAGTATTGCAGTACTTTAGTGCAAGGCCTTATATAATGTCAGATAAATCACCTTGGTTCATGGGTGGTTGAGGATGAGGATATGAATTCCTAACACTCCCACTGCTGTCAGTGAAGCCTGACCTATTTGGACTCCAGTAATCTCTGGCTCTTTTGTGCCGCTTTTGATGACACTTCACCTACAGCTCCCTCCGACTGAAACACTAGACGGGTGGGGCGGGGGGGTTCGTGGAGGGGGTTGCGGCTTCATGGCTCCTGCATTTACTGGTCTGCTGGATTTCAAAAGGAAGAGCTATCTTTGCACTCCCTGAGCGTAATGTCCCCAGGTCACAGCGCTATATCATGTCCAGATATGAAAAGACTGTCAGCGGGTTTGAGGGGCCCGTGAAATAAACACCTCTTGACCACCGGCACCTTCTGAATCCATCAATGTCTTTGACATTTACACGGAAAAAACACACACACACACACATACACCCACAGTGTATTAATTAATGGGATTACAACACAGTGTTTGCAGGACTCGCATCCTAATTACAAGTCATTTATCAAAGTGCAGGCTAAGCTGATTTTCTGCTTATGTAGGTGGTAAAATGATGTCACTTACACACTGCGGTAGTATTCATCATGATTTTTTTTTTCTAACAATATAGGGGAAAAAACGACAGCAGAGGTTACACAGGTAGTTTCCTGCGAGCATTTTAACAATCTAACACTATGGTGTACTGTACAGCCCACTGAGCTGGAAGGCACATCGCCACTTCCATATTTCCTCTGCCGCTGGTGTGGATTAAGCTGCTCGGGATGACATTGTTAATCCTCAGCATTACATCATCCTGTTTCTGCTGTATGTAGGTAGTGTAGTCTGTGAACCTGAGGAGCTGAATCCAATCTATGAAGTACAGTGAAACAAAGGAAACGAGAGGAAGAGAAAAGAGCAGCGCTGATGGATTTTCCCAGATCTAATTAGAGGAGTTTGTGTCCAGCTCTCACTGCTGATTGTTATTGCATATTAAATGGAGACGAGCAATTAGCAAAAGTAAGGCAAGTCCGTTCTAATCATTATTGTCATTATCCAATCAGAGAAATGTGAGGTCGAAAGCTAACTGTTCCTCAAGGACGGATGGGTCAGCGACTCGAACAGACCAAGATCAACTTTCCATTGAATTTCATGAAAAACTTAAAATCACTTCACTTGAATGAATAATAAACATGCTCGTGACATACATCCCTAGATGCCATTTTTATTGATTACCAATAGTGTTAAGGCTTGAAATAGCATTTTTGGTCTGCCCTTTTACGGTGGCCTGCATCAGTTAGCTTCTTACTGAAGACAAGCCAGTAGCAATGATTTGATGAAGTAAAAATATCCAAAACCCAACCAGCCACTATTGATGGCACAAATTAAGTTTGATCTTAGTGGTATGGTAAGAATAAAATGCAAATAGCATTTTTTTCTTTTGTACTATAAGAAAAACACTGCAGAAAATGGTTCAATGAAAAAAAAATGGTAGTTTGACATTAGAGCAAAGAGGCATCTGTCTGTCTAGACAAGCAGAAATGTCTAAGTTAAAACGAGGGGTTAAATCATTGGACAAGTAAAGTTACCCTAAACGCCAAGTAGTTAGAAATGAACGAGTAAAGAGTTAGCATAAAAAAGTTTTAAAAAAGCATAAATATAACAAAAACATTGAGCCTAGACCTGTGTCAGTCAAATTTTAAGCAACCTGAGCTAACTGGCTATTGTTTAACTCCAAGCTAACATTTAGCTTTTTCTTAAAATATCAACTCAACTTTTTTGTGCTATTTTTGCCAACATTTCTATCTGCATGTGGGCTAACTTTTACTTCCCCAATCTCCCATTAATATTTAAGTTATTCTACAATATATTAGCAGTTTCATGCCCCTTACTACAAAGTTTGGACACCCCCTGCTGTGTGGTGCATGACAATGACACTGCAAAGTGTTTACAAAAATCCATTCTAAATAAAATTCAATATGCACTAGCACTCTCAAATAAGAACCAAGGCTGACATTGATTTACGGCTCATTTACTCTCTCTGTAGCTGAATATGCAGAGCAGAGAACATCTTTGCATTTTCATGAACGTGCATAGATTTGCTGCAGGGTTTAAGCAGGTTCACGGTTAAAGATTCACTCTGACAGACGCTGAGCTAAATAGCTGCTGCCTAAATCCTCTCAGACCCCCCCCCTTCTGCCTCTCTACAGCTGATTGTTGACTGCGGTTTAATTTAAATATTTATCATATGCATATTGGACCCCTAAGGGCAGCATTTGAAATTACAACATTCACTCCGTTAATTGCCAAAAATGCCACCACACAAGCTTTGGGATCGAGATGTTTCATTTTATTATTAATGAGCCAGGGAGCGCAGTTTGACATTTATGTTGGGGCTGCACATGCAAATGAGTCTCTATATAAAAAGTCCAAAAATGAAAGTGCCTGAACTGATAATCCGATTGGTCCTCGGAGCTCGCTGCTGATTTATAGAATTAAGGATTCTTCGTTAATGTTTTTTTTCCTGCTTAATGCTGCAGAAGTTAAATGAAAATTCAGTAATAACTCAAATATCAGTGTGTATTTAAAAGTTAAGGGCTGCAGTTAATGGGCATAAATGTAAATGCTGGTAATGTAGAGAGGACGTACGGTATGTGGCAAATTTGTACTGACACTTCAAGCACTGTTCCTTTGGACGGATACATTCTCATGTTTAATTCATGGAATGCTACAAACTAGTCTGACAAAAAAATTACTATTTTCCATTTTTTAAAGGTCAACATCCATTAAGAGCAATTATCAAATAATGTACAACTTCTCCGTATCAGTGATTCTTCACAGTTATAAAGCACCACTCTGTAGCTTCAAGAGTCAAAAAGGATGAACATTCCTTTTTAGCCCAACCAACCAAAAAAAAAAAAAAAATTAAATCAACAGATGATTGATAGATATCTATTTCTAATATACTCCTATGACATATTTGAATCGCATTACTGCAAATAATTTTCAGTCAACATACTGTAAGATGGTATTGCTCTATTCTCTTTTAACCACCGTTAATCATAGTTTGCTAATGTGCTCAAGAGTTTCAGTTTTACTGGCACGAGATATTTAACTTTAAGATATTTGTCAAGAATTTAGAAAATCTTTGTGTGGTGTTTGATGGCAAAAAAAATATGGTAGTTGACACCATGTGTTTATATCGAAAAAAAGGACCAGATTTGTGGAATGTCAAGAAGCTAAGATATAAAAACCACAACTGTTTGCAACTGTCATTCGCTGTAGTGATTTGGGGCTGTATCCCTACTCTTATTCAAATATAATTTTAGCAAAACATTTGTATAAACCAATAAAAGTGTCCTACTCTTATTCAAATATAATGTAAAACATTTGTATAAACCAATAAAAGTGTTTGCAAATTGACATAGGAACGGAGAGTTAAACTCAGATGCTAATGCAGCCAAACACCCAAACCCAAGTCAACATCCAAAATGATGAAATATGGCACAGATGCAGGTCTTCAAAAGGTCGTTTCTAATGCAGTCTCTAATGGTCTTTCCATATGTTGTTAGCTGCTGCCACCTGAATTCCATCAGGTCAGCTAAGTGGGGTGGTGGTGGTGGTTGTGGGGCGGGGGGTTACACTCCCTTCCATAAACATCTGCCATTAGAGTTTAGGCAGCTGAGAACGAGGCAGGATGAAAGTCTTCAGGGCTTCCTGACAAGATAAGTTGTAAAAGCTTGGCTGTGGGTCAAAGGTAGCACAAAGGAGATGAGGTGTGTTCCCCTGGTGAACTGTCCTGTGAAAATACATAAATCACCTGAGAAGCTGTTGCCGTTCATTTGTGTCTGTCCGCCTCTCGGCCTTTACCATCTTTTTTTTCTCTCTCCTGTTGTTTAGTGAGCCTTAGAGATTCTCAGTGATAAATCCTGGACTGTACCTCCCTGAACTTTGCTGCTTAGTGAAGGGAGGAAACGAGGACAGGGGGAGCTGCTGACACGCCGACATTGATGAAGAACTCCAACCAAGGTCTTGGACCAGCACCATTTAGGAGAGATTGATTATCCAATTAACATCTGGCGTGGTGAGTAGCATCACCAGTTTTGAGAGACACTAACGAGATGCAACAACTTGGGTATTTTTTTTAACAGAGTAGAATGTGCATAGAAAATATTTTGAAGTATAAAATAAATGTGTGAGGAATTTGACAAAGTTTGGTGCTCGTGCTAGTCTCTACATTTATGCCAGTTGGTGGTGCCCTCAATTATTTTTATTTTCTTTATTGATACAAACTGGGGATTTTATTAATATTTTCTTTTTTGAACCTTAAGTCAAAAATAGGCTCTGAACTACCTTCAGTCCAATTAAAATAACCTTGAATTTAACCTATGTTTAGGTGTTAACCTGGACTAACCTTTTCGTCTAAAATTTTTTCTAGTTTTCTGGATTAACTTTCAGTTCCCGTTCTTTCATTTTCACAGTAGTATTAACCAGTTATATTTATGTTTCCAATTTATTTTTGCCTATCTTTAATGATTTTCAAGCTTTGATGTGATTTTTTTTTTATTTCACACAACATGGCATTTTTTATTTATTCACTTTATTTTTTGCAATATTTAAGCTATTTTTTAGCAGAATTAAGATATTCTTATGCAAGTTTTGAGAGTTTTGAGATCTGCATTCAAATGTAGATGTCATATTTTTGTATTATATCTGAGCTAAGTTTGAAATTTCTTGTGCCTTAGGCTCAGACTTTTGGCCAATTTTATGTAGGTTTAAACAGTATTCCCCCGCCTTTCTTAATAATTTAATGAATAGTACTCAAAAATAGTATTTGGACATTTGATCAGCTTTCAGAACTTTAAATATGCATCTTTTATATCTAATTTATTTGTGTTTTGATATGATAATGTCATTTACATAAGGCAATTTCCTCTCATTCTCCTCTTTCCCCTGGTGGTAAAAAGTTCACTTCACTTCTAACAAATAATACACTCTCTATAATATATCTGTAACTTAAACTGACAGCGAATATACTGTGTGTGTTTTGGCTCCGGTTCATCAATATTTGGGTTGTAATGTCATGTTACATAGATGGTTAGGTTAGCAGGGAAACCACTGTCCTGTCCCATCTTTGATCCCCTGTCTCCTGGCCTGCTAAATAAATTTGTGTCAACACAAATTTGGTAATAAGCTGCCCCGTGTCAAGTCAGCCATTCGGAAACAGGATTTAGAGTCCATTGTGCTTCAGCACGCTTGATATATGCAGGGGAATTTGCTTCAAATGTCCATAATGACTCCCCGTAGCGGGTGTATGTGTGCACGTATTGATTTTCTGCTTGTCATTCTGTATATTCCCATAAAAGCTTTCAACGACTGGGGTCTATCAGTGCCGTCAGAGCTTTGATTGGAATATCAAGTACACAAGCTCCACTGCTGAGTCGGCTGTCACAAAGAACAAAAACTCATCTTTCTGGGGATGTCGGATAAAATCACAATGATCCTAATCACTGAGCAGAATTTAACAATTTTACCAAGATTTGTCCCTTAGATTGTTTTTATGTAAATCAGAGGAGTTCAGAATCAGAATTTGGTTTGTGGGAATGAGGATTACATTTTTTTAAAACATATTTGCACTTAACTTCCTGTATATTTATAATGAGCGTGCCATCTGAACAAAGACTAGAATCTAGACTGCAGGCCGGCCAGTCACTTTACTGTATGAACTCACACTTTTATTTCAGAATATACAAGATTTACATTGCAATTGCACTTGCTGCCTCACTGAAACTGTACTGCAGTAGTCCAAACCAATAACTAGTAAATGGTCGGATAATTTACTGTTTTTACGAGTAACTATGATGCCAGAAATTTGGTTAACCCCCCCGACCTCCCACCTCCCTTAAAAAAAGCAAACAAAGTCAACCCTTGCATCATAATCTGCAGATCCCAAAACATATGCTTCTGAAACCGCCACTGGAAAAAAACATAAGGACGAGAGGACGGAGAGGCAGAATTTATTAACAGCCCCTAACAGATCACAGCTGCCAATATTTTGTATTTAGATTACTGTAATCCCCTGTACATAGAGTGTGTTGCTCCTTAACAATTCCCCTCTTTCTCTGGGAGCAATTAGACCGAGCACTTGAAGCTGGCCTCCAACAGGAAGCATTAGGAGACTTAGGACTTCAAAGGGTCGCGCTCAAACATACACTGAGAGCGAGATGTTTTTCTTCGGCGTTTGGCTCTTTCTCCTCCATCAGACACACTCTCCGTTAGATCTTCAGTGATTTTATGTATGAAACGGCAGGGAAACCAAAGAGATTAGCATTTTAATTCCGAAGAGAGAGGAGGAAAAAAAGGAGTAAAATGTTCGACATAAAGAAAGCAGATCAGAGATTTGAAGTTGAATTTTTAAGCAGTTTGTAATCACCGTCCATGCAATATTCCGGCGTGTGTTTTGATCCAATGAATATATCATTTGGATTTTAGCCCATTGATAACAACAACAAGGAATTACAAAAAAGGCAATTTCTTTGGTAATTTGTACAATTTTCATCATTCAATTTTTTCTCTTCACTCCAGGATTAGTGAAGCGATACTTTTTCAAATTAGTTTCACTGTTAATGCTTTGATGAATAAAAATCACATATTTACAGGAACAAATTCTCTCCTTGAAAAACAGCGTGGTATAACTCCTGGTCCTTATTTTCAGGTTAAGATTTCAGTGATAAAAAATTACCTCTGTAAAATAACCTTGGTAAAAAGTGTTGTACTATATCAACCCCTTAGGCAGGAGGCCAGCTCTGACTTTGAGTCATTTTTTCTCAAACTAAAGCAGGCAGTCATTTTATATTTTGACCTTCTCTGTACATTCTGGCCACTTTGTTGAAAAATGTACTTTTTCCTGCCTTCTCTTCTCTTAGATTTCAAGTTTTATACTGTAAGGAGTCGAACACGTTGGACATTTCTCTTGCCGTGCTCTGCCCCTCATTAGGATACTTCGTCGGATGCTTCCACACCACTAGAGACACCATTCCACTGATTAGGCTAATTGTTCAGCCCATAGACCCAACATTCAGGTACGTATGGATTGACCATTCGTCTCACTGTAATGAAATCCCCAGGGCTGTACAAACCGTAGCACCCAAGGAGTCATTTAATTCAGAGACGCAGGTTTCTGTGCCACTCTCATCAGCGGCCTCGTTAATCCCATAGTCCTTCCTCTCCGCAGCCCGACTGTCACACTAACAGAATATCCCTAAATCAAAGAGACAAGCTGTGAGATTCAGCTGTGAGGGGACAGAGTGGCATTAATGAAAATGGGAAAAAAATTGGGTGATTGCATTAGGAGCTGGCTCACTCACCAATGGTTGTGAGCACAGATTGGAAGACGAGAGTTTGTGGGAGATAGTACAACATAAGGGTATTACTGTAATTTTAGAGGTGTTTGGACAGAAGAATATTCACTAAAATATGTTTTGCTTGTTTTAAATGGCCACTAGGTGTGTATAATGGAGTGTTTATCAGGAATACCATCGCTTCTGTCTAATTCTTCAGCTGCTTTTTTTTTCTACCTTTGAATGTTTCCCGGTAGAAAAAGTTCAGAGTAGATAAGAGACCCAGTAGGTGTCGGATATGGAACTGTGAGGCTGCCAGTTCCCATCAGAAACAATAGGAAGAAGAAAGGAGTGTGAGGGAGTGAGTGAGGGTGGGAGGGTGGGGGTGATGGTGTTCAGAATCAGCTCAAAAGCTGAAAAAAGGAAGAATTCACTTATTTGTGTCTATGACATGCAATTTCAAGATATGCTTTGTGTGATTTGTCTGTAAATTTGTTTGATTATTTGGACATATGATGGACGGTCAAATTTTACATCTCAAGGCTACAATTAAAGCTGTGCTGTGACATTTACAGTGGGAGTGTGGTTTGAATAGATGACCTGACTGTATATCTCTGACATCACAAAAAGAAAATCCCAAATATCCTGCACTTTGAAATACATGAGGTCAATTCCCATCAAAATTATCTGAAACTGCTGCTAAATTTGGAGCTTGTTTAGAGAAGTACAGTTTTGGACTCTCAACTAAAAATTAAAATTAAATATTTTCAAAATATTTTTTTACTACAAATCCCAATAACCTTTTGCTAATTGTCATAAAATTGTTGACTTTTGAAAAATTACTGGCTTTAATTTAGGTGAACACTAAGCGGGGCAGAAACCTCATCACGGTGTAATATAAATGCAGAGGACGTTGCCGTTCTGTTGCCTCCGCTCTGCAAATCACTTTAACACCATAATCAAAACTTTGAGCCCGGAAAGAAGTTGTTGATTTCGATGTAACACAAACAACAACCTTGTTTTTCGCCCTCCACAAGTGCCATCATCGCGCTTAAACAGCCGTGTGTATTCATGTGTGTGTTTATCCTCCAATCCCAGTGGAGCCATTCGTCCAAACCGACGCTGCTGCGAATGTGCTCTCATTCGAACTGCCTGCTGAGCAATTTAAAACACTGCCTGCTCACAGCCTTTATCTGACACCCGACACACAGTGATACCAGCATTATATGTGACCTATAATATACTGTATGGGCCATTTACAACCCAGTCTGTGGGTGACATTTTTTCCCTCCCTCCAAGCAGTTTGAGCACTGCATAAATGTTAAACATATTCACTGAAATAAGGTTATAAAAATACATATGCACATATGAAATAAGTCAGACTTTATGGTTTTAGGCAAATAAAGAGTTCACATATATGGTAAACGGATGTGTTACTTTACATTATTGACTGGTCCATGAATTTATAATAAAAAAAATTCTTTTGCTATTAGAACGGTTACATTTAGTTATCAATTGCTATACATTTATTCACTAGCATTAGTGTTTTCTGAAGTTTTTGAAAAATATATGTGTACATTATTAATGTATTTACTGAATATTGCTTGGTGTGTCTGTGGAATGGTGTTAATATGTAATGTTAGCCTACTACTTCATTATGCTCCAAGATGAAGTACTAAATCTATGTTTTGAACTGGGTCAGAGCTGGGACTGCTCTGGCGTGATCTGCCAGTCAAATAGTTGTTTTCGCTCCAGACTTCACAGCATTTCCTCTTCAATCCACTCAGAGTAAACAAAAGCATGCAGCACATTGCATGGCACCGTGGCATTACTTCCCTCACTAGTTGCTGAACGTGGTTGACTCTGCCTCTGTAAACGATCAGTTCACCTCACCGTCAACAAACCGAGACCGTGCTCGGGCGCTGCCACGGACCAGTGGAGCTTGTTATCTGTGGCACGGCGATGCCAATCTATTCAAAAGCGTGTCCTGCGTGTGTCCCTGAAACATGGCTTGTTTTGAAAAATACATGATTGCCTCGCTAAAGAGTAGGACGATGCCTCGTCATTTGCGGGCTGCACTGGGGTGTAGTTACCATCCTCGCTTCCTTATTCATCAACATCGCTGTAGTTGTTTACCAAGAGATCACAACACAAAGCGCAGTTTGAGACTGTGTACTTGTTCAAAAGAAGGGCAAGGAAGCCCGTGCCAACTGTGCGGTGTATGCCATTATCTGTTGTCTGCATATTGAGAGGCACCGAGGGCATCAACAAGAGCCTGTTTTGTGCATTGCCATGCTGTGACTCTTCCTCTCTGTGCATTTCCAAGGGCAGAGTTGGAATGCGCTAAACAATATTCTCAATAGGCCTCTGCTCATGTTTGTTTCACAGCGGTGAGAGAGATAGAGGGAGAGAAAAGTGCCGTGACCTTTAAAATTCACAGAGGAGAGGTTCTCCCCTCAGGGATGTCTGGAGCGCTGCAGCCTGGAGGCAATATCATGCAATTCCACCGCAGTTTAACCATGTCAAGGGAGGCTTTGAGTTTGTCATTTCAAGTATTAACTGCTGCTGAAAGAGTACGAAGAGGTCTTACAGTGACAAACACCTACACCGAGCACAAAGGTACTATACAGTCTGTAAGAAATAAATAGAGTTGCCTGCTGTAGAAAGCTTGTTGAAATTTGAGACTCCTGATAATTTACTTCAGAAAATCAGATCTGGATCTGAGGAGTAAAGAAGTTTTTTCTCATACTAATATGATTTGAACATTTTAGGGAAGGATGAGAGAAGCTTAGGTGCATAAAAATCCTGAATACTTTAATTATTTAATTATTTATTAAATTACCGTGCTTTAATTGATTATATTTAGCCCATAACAAATGCACTTGTAAAATAGATAATCACACGATTTCTTTAACTCCAGTTTGAATTAATTTTTTTTTAGACCTGCTTTTATTAATCTCGCTTTTTGGAGTAAGTCGTACTTTTTTCCCATTGTTCTATGGTTTATTGTCCTACATTAAGATTATTGTCAACTTCTAACGATTTTTTGTGTCGGTTTTAATGAGACAGACATACAGTACAGTTTACTTCCCAGTGATACAGATGATACAGATTTAGCTATTAAAAATATGGCTTCCAGTAAAATTCTGCAAAGGTAGAAGGTAGTTTTCATGTAGTGAAGTTTTTTTTCTTCTGTCTGTTCCTGCTCATCACCATTGTTTCTCCTCTGTCCTGTCACCCCTTCGTCTACCTGTCCTCATTTTTAGACATTTCTAACCTTTGTTCAGATGAGTCTGAAATAATTGAAAGACTGAAGAGTGTAAAACCGATGTGTTAAAGCAGCAACGTTTTTACCTCATAGGCTTAGTAGTTTTTACATCCATAGACAAAGTGACTTTTCCAGGAGCTGTAAACTAACTCTGACACATTTTCTTTTTTTCTTTTTTTTTTTCTTTCTACTTTTTGATACTGCCTTGTCACCTCTCAGATAACTCTGCAGAAGTCCTTACGTCACATGACTCACAGTTATTAGTTTAGTGCTGGTTCATGTCCAGATGAGCTCTGGCAGATTGTCTGTCACATCATCCTGGCTTCATCATTACTGCCTCTCTCTCTTGCTGTCAGTTTTTGAACTAAGGCTCACCTCAGGACACTGAAATGTTTGTGAAAGTTTGCTCGTCAGTCTACTTCGTGTTGTTCTTTCTGACCATCTTTGTCAAAAACAAAGATGTATGTAAAGAGCGATTGGTTCCGATGAAACACTCTGAGGTAATTTGTTGTTAAACATTCAAACTAATGTATACTTGTTGTTGTTCACGGATGTCATTGTTAGTTCTGGAGGAGATGAGAAGCTTTAGTTTGGACTAGCTCAAATTCAGCTTCTCCCTGTCAGTGACAATGACAGTGTATTGATCTTGCAAAGCTTTTTACAGCAGATACCCTGCCTGGTTCAAATCCCCACCTCGGGGTTGAGGGTAAGGGTTACTGCAGGTTATTGCTCAATGGCCTAATAAATTGAAAAATAATGCCAAATATTCTTAAAATGTCTGGAAAACTTTATCATGAATCTAATAGGCGACAGTCTTCTAACTTCTAGGCTTGTCCACTCCACTGGGCAGTACTTTAAATAGAACCTTGTCTGGTTCAATATGTCTTCACTGTGTGCACAATCTCTTTGTATGGGCTGCAGCCCTCGGTGAACTGTGAGAGATTGTTGGTAAATGATGGCTGTAGCTGCTATACTCACAGTAAATCCCTTGTTAAGAATAAAACCTGTGATTTAGTTGCATTCTATTTTTATAAGAAAACGTAAGAGCTTTAAATGTATATGTTTATTTCTTAATATTTTGTATTTTTAAAGGCTCCTAGAGGAAGGTCTCAGAGGTGCGTCACTTCTTTCTTCTTTCCCTCTGAAAGCCTCTACCTTTTCAAGGTATAAAATCAAACTCTTTGAACGTGTTATCCTCATCTCTGAGCTGTGAATCTGACTGCTGAATGGTGACACTGACAGGAGATTGCACGGTGTTACAGAAGCCAAAGAACATCAGAAGTCAGCCTGGGATGTACAGATTATCAACAAAGAGCCAGTGTAATTCCTGAAAGCTTTGTACTTATGTAATTATACACTGAAATAGAAGAGAGAAAAAACCCAAACAAACAACAAAACAGCGTTTGGAACAAGCAACAGCCAAATGTAAATCTCTAATAATCTGAGCTCAGGCTAAAATATACAGTGGCTGTCAATATTTGTTCTGTCACTGAGCTGTTTTAGATCTGCGTCAAGGACAGTTACCGTGGCAACTGAAGGTTCAGTTGCTGCACACTATCAAACACCTCAGCTCCTCAGAAAAGAGCTTACAGATATTTATACATCAAACATGCACGGGAGAAATGTTTGGAAATGTGTCATTTTCAGGGCTAATTTGTGTCTCTTGGTTTTATCGTTACTGTGCAGACAGGCCGGAGCTGGGCTTCCACAAACCACTGATTTATTGTTCCAGTTCGTAAATGACACCATGATGGATCGTATTAAAGCCGAATACAAGTGTTTTTCTTGTAAAGTGGTGTCAATCATGTTGCGTTGTAACAGTTTCCTTCCGTCACTACTGGCTGTTAGCTGCCATTCATCTCCGCAAACAACCGACGCACTGTGAAAACATTCATTACAGGAAAATGTCAGCTGTTATGCACTTCAGTCACAGTTGTTGTTGGTCATAGACTGAGACTGATATAACTGTCGTCTTTGTTTAGCATTTACATAGCTGTTCTTACCTGGCTTGGACCAGGTAAGAACAAGTTGTCTAAGGGATCGAGCTACAAGTTACTTTTCACCCCATTCTG